AACATCCATTATTATAATTGTGAGGGAAAATAATCATGTATTACCTTGATTGTCTGACAAAGAGGATGATACTTAATTGCAAAGCTCTCGACAAGCCTTACAATTAGGTTTTGACATTTAAGAATCTTTCCCCGAAGGCTGAGATGTATTTATCATACCAATAAGGCCAGGAAATGTTGTAGTGTTCTGTTTTCTGTTTTTCGACCTTTCATTGTTAATCACTGGCATATATCTTAGCTTGTACATATACAACGATCTTTTCAGTTTCATAGTTTTAGAGATCCAACGTATCGATCATACAATAAACTATAACACAATAAAATATCATATATAAATGTAAAACAAAACCAATAATTCTACAATGAAATGTGCTTCGGTCATACATTGGAGTGATGTATACATGTACATGTGACAGTGGGAAAGAATTATTCAGCTCACATCTATAATCTGAAATCATATTGATATGAGAATGACAGGAACCAAAGAAAGATATCAAACCAAAAGGAATAATATTAATTAACCCCTATAAAGAAATGGAAAATAGTAGAGGTAATCTGGAGGATAAGCTTTTCCTGCACACTATTTTTTTTATCATTTCAGCACGTAGGTGTCCACAGCTGGCTGGGTATAGCTGTGATGTCTGGTGTTTGCCTACAGCTGTTCGGTGGTCTGGTAAGGCCGAACCCAGACAGTCGTGTTAGGCCAGTGTTCAACTATCTACACTTGTTCACAGGCAAATCTATTCAAATTCTTGCAGGTAAATGAGTTACCAAAATATGACTGTTTCCAGACTTTTTTTCAATACCTACTGGGTACATGTAGTTTCATGCAGTTGAAGAGGGCGGGGTATGATTGGAGTGGTTGGGCAAATGCAATAATTACGCTTTGTATATGAAAGAAAGATCTTCTGTTACTTCCTGCTGTGGTCAAAATGTATCAGCATCTCAAAAAACCATTTGTTACAACACGCCTCATGTACAATTATTCTTCATAAGAACAAAAGTTGTTTGTATTGAGAATAACCTAGTGGCCAATAACTTTCTTCGAAACAGCTTGTCATAAACTAATTAACAATGCATTAGTAGTATTCACTTTAATTTTGCAAATCATCACAATGTCAATAATGACTTACATGTGTCATCCAAGTCCAATAGTTGACACCTGAATAGAATCACTATTTTTTCGGGCTAAGAACACTTATAGTTTAATGCACTGAGTGCTCTGTGCATGGACCTAATGCATTATATATGAACATATCTTCCAGCTGTGACATCAGTTATCGTATTTAATACTGGGTATCTGCCAAAAGCTCAAGAGGAATTCGGAACGTCTATACTGTGCTTCTGGATAGGAGTCCAGGTGATCTGGGAAATCCTGTTTGAAGTTATCAAATACCGTACGCCAGGTGGGTATGCACAACGATTTTTACAGGTTCCCTTCTTTTTTACTTTTGATTCGTTTTGTCAATTTCAATCATACGATGATAAGAATACACGAAAGTATGTATCTATATACCCCGGTAGAAAATTACACTGATATAATCCAACACAAACATGAAATGATTATTTATTATGTAAACATTGTACATGTAATAGAGAAAACTGCAATGTCTATATTCAGTTAACTGGATAGTTCATGTACCTCCGGGTAAACAGGATGACATTGAAGGTTATCTGGGGTAAATGATTTTTAAATCTTTTGGAAGGAGAGTAATAGGAATATGTCATCTGCATTTCATGTATGATGTATCTGACATGAAACTACAAAAAGCATAATGACTACTGTTAATTACGTTAGAGAGAGAGAAAATGCTAGGAGCTATCAGTACCCTCGGTTTAGATTACCTTCCTATTTGATTGTAAATATTATGTATCTGGGTCACGTCGACATTTTCTGTATTCTGTTATATTGCCATCTTATAATGCATCAACATCCCACTGAATAATATGTTTTAAAATAAAAAACCTGTCTAAAAAATATTTAGCATATGTAGTAGTGTAGATAACATTCTACATTTTGTATGTTATGTTTACGAATGCACATATGTAACTTGGCCAATTTAATGTTTCTTAGATCATTTTTCACGTGATATTATAATTTGCGTCTTACTGATTTAACAAATAGCATATTTCCGTTGATACAATGTAGATATTGTTAAAACTGTGAACTTATCTAGCAAATATTTATAGTATTTCTCATTTCTTTACGTGTAAAATTATCTCATTGCTCGTCTTTTGAATCTAAACCCTTTCGTTTAAATACAAAATATGACTCTCGCAAAGGATAAATATGTGTAAAAAAATGTTATATTCAGCTCCTATAATGGTTAATTGTCCTGGCGACAGCGAAGGTAATGTATAGACAGTGGTCTAGGAAGACCACTTCAAAAAGCAAAAGGGACGGTGGACACTTCTTACAAAAGGCAAAAGGAATAAAAAGTAACCCCCGATTCTGCACGAGGCCATTATTAATTGCCTCATAGAACCATTTCGGCATGCAGTTCAAACTCTTTTGGCTGAATAGGCAATTGTGTACAGCAATTACAAGCCCTTCATGATGCTGAAGTACTAACATAGCTACATGTAATATCAACTATACTTGATGTTTACACAGTAAATTAACTTCATATTAATGTTTTTCTTCACTATTTTATATTTCAGATAATGTAGAAAAGACACACACCAGCGGTGGGGCCGATATCCGTACAGTTATGTTATGGTGCTTCATATCAACCATGGCGGCCATGCTTATTCCAGCTTTCATGACAATATTCTTCTTCTGAAATTCCCCTGCGTATTGTGTTATATACACTGTGCCTACAGTTAGAATCTTTTCAAAAGACGACAGAGAATACTAATATTGAAGCGTTATGAGAACCAGTGGTTCTTATCTGATAACGCCATTCTTTCGCAGGTCTATTCCCATGCATCATGGCTGCTTGTACCGATAAAAAAGACTGGACAAATGGTGCAGAAAGAGCAATAGTATTGAGTGACTGTCATTGTGGATTCATCCTACCCCCAGTCGATCCGGTGCTGTAGGATGATAAGCTTGGCTGTTTGTTTAATATGGTTTAAAACTAAGTTACTAGATGTATTTTTTTACACTTCTAATGTCAATCAAAACAATACAACTTCTACATGACTTGTGTCCTTAAATACATATACAATGTATGACTAAACTGTAACAATGTTTCCAAAATCCAATGTTAAAACCATTATTTAACGAATCATCTGAGCAAGTCTCCGTCGCAAGTAACGTCGACAATTGCTTCAACATTACAAATATCTTAATAAGTAAAAACACAAAAGGGATTATCTTGAATATCAACCATTTGTCAAAATACATAAATATATAGCCCAAAATAACTGTTTGGGAACCATCCATATAACTAATGGAACTGGAAAAATAGATGGATTTTCTCGTACGTAAGAAGCAAATATATGGTGTCTTACATATCATTGTTAACTAACTTCTTTTATAGTATGTGAAAGGAAATGCTATGATGCGTGCCAAATTTGATTCAGGAAACGCTTACCCCCTGGGGTACTTGTTTCCGCAGCCGTGTATGTGTGGAAGTTAATCTGGTGGTCTTCTCGTCCCCTTTTCCTCCTTGTGTCAGATTTTAATCGTGAGTTACGGTTTTCTCCTTTCAACGTATCAAACATTGATCAATAAAAAACTATGGGGAAAACTGCATAGACTCTCTCAATTTATTTTCAACATCATTTTTCATGTTAGCAGGTTGGTATAGATAAAGATCTTACCATATATTGATATTGAGGTCGCCGATAGTCACTTACAACTACAATGTAACACATATATACATTTAAATGTTCGATAACCTGGCAGTGACAGTTGGAGTAAATATCTAATATTCATATCGATGGAAACAAAGATGTTTTATCACATTATTTTGATAATTAATCATTTCAAACTCGTTGTACGTAGATAACATTTCGTAAAAGTGTTATACGGTACAGATAAATCTTTAAAATATTGAATTCCTTCGATTGACAATCAAACAAAACATAGTTCTTTATAATTGTTTACAGTTATGCTAACCAAGTACTACATAGTTTCATGTACGTATAAAAAAGAAGTATCTGTATATTTTTTGAGACTACAAGACTTCCGTCATGTATGAAAATTAAGCTAATTCTTCTAATTCTTTTAGTTTTGAAGTGTATCGTCAACAGCCCGAACATTTATAGGCTATTTACAAGTTTTATCAGTGATCTGCTTTCGTTTACTTCATATTGTAATCGAAAATAAATATATATATCCTATGGCGTATTTCAATTTTATTTTACGTGACGTTAGACAGGGACAGTATATATATATATACGTCCCTGCGTTAGGCTATTCAAAAATAAATTCAATTTAGATTGAAAACTATCATACTATATTTGCTGTCCTTTTTATACTATTGCTTTTACTTAGGAATATAACTATCTTACCCTACTCTGACAACGGACTCTTCCTAAATGTAACATTTAAAAATAATAGATAATAATTCGAGGTCTTATATACCGCTTTATCACAACCAAGTTGGTAGATCGTCTCAAAGCGGTTCACAAATTATTATCCGTGGTTATAGAGCCTTTGCAACCAGCCAATATCTTTATCAACTACGTACCTGGGGAGCATACAGCCGGTGCTGCCATTTCGGCTCTCACAGCTAGCATTCTACAATTCTACATAACACTGCCCAACTACGTACTCATTTACAGCTGAGAAGACTGGAACAAGCGGAGTAAAGTATCTTGCTCAAAGATACAACACAGTGCCGTGTCGTGACTCGAACCCTCAACCATAAGTAAGTATAGCCATTCACTTGTTAATGTACTGGAATTGATAAATAAATTTGATATAATTGACTTATTTTTTATGGTGTGAAAATCCGATTAACTGTACAGAGCCTTATTTTATTAGGTTGAAATACCAGAAAAAGAAGAAGAAAAGCAATGCCATATTTCTAAAATGAAACCAATGTTCTTTTAATTTGCCCGAAGTACTCTTAATTTAGAAAAAAAACTCCTTAATTTTGGTGCTTATACTATATCCAAAATAGTATTATAATACATAGATTTTAGAACATGTATAACCAATTTAGAAAACGATGGGACATTGAGCAAAAGACAAAGGTTATGATTGATTCGCAGTCAAGACTTGAATTGGACTCTAATAAGTAAATGCCACATAAGTAATTGTAAATTATAGTTAAGAAATGTTACGGTTCTCCATTGATGTTCCTGAATATGTTTAAAAGTTAACTTTGACATTACATGCGTATCGCTTTTGCCTTGGCCGTCTAACCGATAAATACGCGTTACCATGTGATCAAAATAGAAGAGAAACAAAATGAAAAGGTGATTTGTTTGCTGATACACCGCCGGTATCTATTAAATGAGGGATTGTATTTGCATGAACACCGGCCATCTGACCTATTGACCCCACAAAATGGCGCAAGCAACTGGGAGCGGTGTTTACCTCGGATTTGATTTTAGCACACAACAGGTAATTTGACAATGCATAAACAATGACAACCTTACAGACACCTTCTGCTATTATTAGTGCAACTAAAATTTATGTTTACGTACATTTGCCTTTACACAGGTAGATCTGTGCGGTATCACTCTGCAGTTTGGTGACCCACTTCTGACCGGGCTTTCGCTGATAAGAAGAGCATTATCAGTTTGATTGGAGCTCGTTTTACACACGTGTGGCTACATCGATTTAATTGGCTTCAATTTAGATATGCTTATGAGAAAAGCCCTCGGTATCAATAATCATAATTGGCTTATGCTACACAGATACAATGACTAGAATCAAATCGCTGGTGCGAAATGCAGCTGAAATGAGCAGTTGTAAGTTGAAGCATAAGTCATGGATTATCTCCCAGTATAGATACATTTTGTACACCAACTTCTGATCTACGAGTATGCAGAAATTAGCTTGCATCATATATATTAATCAGGAAAATGTTAATTGAAAATCTGCATTTGTTGAAATAACACAAAAAAAAATATATATTGTTGTTTGGCAATTTTTTTTATGGTCAATAGTACTAGTACATGCACTAACAGTACATACTAGTATAGTATGGTAAATATAGCCTAAAGCTGCAGCTATGCTATTGATTGTGTTATACATGTATAATATTACAGATAAAAGTAATCGCAGTGGATGATGACTCCAAGGTTTTAAATGAAGCTGCTGTTAAATTTGATACAGACCTTCCAGAGTTCAAGTAAGTGTAACATCTAATTTGTTTTCAAAATGATTTTCTTAGTTAAAAAATGTTTTCCCATAATTTTTTTCTGAATTCTATACCTTTATTCAATGAGCTTCATTTGTGGGATATGATAAGAAAATCTTAAATTTTGTTTTTCCCTTTATGTTAGCATTGTGTGCATACATGTTTATAAATGTACACACATGTATACTCATTGTTAATACATGTATCTGGACTTTGGAATATAAATCTGTGTCATATATATATAAAAAATGTATACTCTTATGTGTAGGACTCAGGGTGGAGCTCACATCCACAATGATAAAGTCACAGTTACTGCACCAACTCTCATGTGGGTCAAGGTAAGTAAAATAGCACACCCTGTTACATATTTTTAATAAAGTATTAGACTCGGAAAATATTAAAAAAGTGGCATCCTTATTGTGCTATTTTTTGGTAAATTTATTTGAATGGGGTTGCTCCCAATCAACTGGGAGAATAATGCACTTAATCTGGATTTTCTGCAAACATAAGAAATATTGATAGCTTTAAAAAAAATCATTATTCCAGCATTTTGTAGGAGAATGTTTGTAATTACAAAGATTTATCTGAACATTGAGATGAAATTTCTCACCAAAAAGTTGGTAAGGTTTCCCTTTAGTTTGATCATACCATGTAATAATGTCTATAAAGAAACTGTTAGGTGGTTTAAGAAACATAGAAGATTTTTAAAGTCAGACTTCTTGACTTGAAAATTTAAGGTTTTAAGCTATGTGTCCTTTTTATGTGCATTCAGCAGTTAATGCATATAATCATGTTATTGTAAAAGTCATTTTTTTAGTAACATGACTTTTAAGCATGGTAATTTATTTGTTGAGACATTATGCCTTAGTTTGCAACATTCAATCTACTTACCATGGGTTGACTGATCGCAGAGATTTCATGTACCGGTAATGAAAAAAAGCAATATTTATTATATATAATAAGAAAGTCTCATTGGTACTGTATTTGACCGTTTTTGACTATTCCTCATTGCAGGCTCTTGATCTCCTGATGGACCAATTGAAAGCAAGCAGTTTTGATTTCTCCAAAGTTGTGGCAATATCTGGAGCAGGACAGGTAAAAACGTTTCTATGTCTAAATATATCTCCTTGAAGTAAAAATAAACAGTGATACCCAACCCATGTATCTCTAAAACAAAAATCCAATTTTGACTACAGCTATCGGATATGAAAGTTTAAATGTTTCACACACATTAGCTCCTGAAAGCATCAAATGTCTTAAAAAGAACAACTGTGATAAAGGTAGTGAAATTTGAAATGCAACAAAACAATTTTTAAGCCAAACAAAACCCTACCAAATCCATATAAATACTGTGGACCTGCATCATTTTTTTCCCTTAAGGAGATTTCACTCTCCCTTTATTTCTAACATTCTGCAGCAACACCCAATTTCCCCTTATCAGGAAACACTGGGAAGCTTTCAAAATTTCCTTTCGTATATTCAGACGGGAGATTCTTAATATTTGGTGTGTTGAAATAAAAAAAAAAAATGTAAAATCATTGTAATTTTGCTTCATTTGTTATACTTGATTTTAAAAGAGTTGTCTATTGATGACAGCCCTTGAATTACCAAAATATTGATACCTTACTCTTTGAACCAGTGTAGTGAGGTATGACTCAGTGAAATGACTGAGATAAGGTATAACAGCTGACTTACAAACATTAGCTGAATATTTCCTTAAAATTCCAATTTTAGGAAACAAAGTTATGCGTGATGATTTGACTGTTTGACCATGTTGTATATCTTTGACAGCAACATGGCAGTGTGTACTGGAAATCTGGAGCCAGAGATACCCTGCAGCATCTGGATCCAGCCAAACCACTACATCAGCAGCTGCAGGTACATCATAGTGATATTCAAGTGCATCTGTAGGTCTTGTGATACTATACAGGAGTACAGACGGATTGTACCATAGTTTAGGTTATTGTTCAGGCACCCAGCCTGAAAAACAATGCACAAACTGTAACAGACACTCTGTAGTATGTAAGTACATTGTACAGGTAACTGATTGAGATAATATACAGGTGCATGAAGATACTCGTTGTGCACATTTATTAGAAAACAGATTCTGATAATGAGTAGATACATGTATGAAATAGTACTTTTGCAGATTTAGATAATATACGGATACAATTATGTACCAGCATGAACAGACTATTACAGGCTATTTAAGTAGAAATAAAGAAACTTTTTATCTACTCCCCTCCCCAATGACAAGTTTTGTCCAGACATGCGCAATAGTCCATCAATTTCCTTTTAGCGACTGACCTAATCATGCAGCTAATTACAAATTCACTACCAGTAATTATAAATGTCCAAAGGGTATGTTGTTTCCATGACTCCGGGAGAGTACATATATATATATATATATATATGGTACTCCATCGATGTAAGAGGTTTACACGGCGAGATACTTTTGACAGGCGTGTGTCGCAGTCGGCAAAATAATATCCGATAGAAAAAGGGCCGACCAGCGGCCTCTTTATGTTATAGGAGTAATATATATGGATGATTAGGGGCGGCAGGTTAGCTTTGAATTGTACAGTAGTGGGTTTTTTCTCTCCAAGACTGTAAGATTATGTATTGATATGTTAAGTACATGTATATCTAAATTTTGATTTACAGGATAGCTTCAGTGTGACAGACTCACCAATATGGATGGACTCCAGTACCACCCAGCAATGTCGACAGTTAGAGACTGCTGTTGGAGGACCTATGGTAACTCATGTTTATAGCCGATATATAACACTTTTAGCTCATAAAACTATGTTTTGGTTTGGTTTGTTTGTGTTTTACGTCCTATTGACAGCTATGGTCATACATGGACGTGCAAGGGTGTGTAATTATATATAATAGCTACATTGTAAATCAAAAGTTAAGTTTTGTAACCAGAACTTACAATGAACCTGGAATTCATGCATTGGCTAGCATTCTGCAAAATGCTTTTTAACACTATATATAAATTAATTTGTAATGCTTAATACCCTATTCAGCGCCTTGCAGAAATCACAGGAGCAAGAGGATTTGAGAGATATACAGGAAATCAGATAATGAAGATATCTCAAACCCAGAGTGATGCCTATGCTAAAACAGAGGTACATACATATCAAAACCAATTATTTGTTCCAAATGTTGATAATGATGTCATAACATGGGACCTAACTCTTGTTTATATGTTCTGTTATAAGGAAGACAACAATTGTTCACCTTTTGTTTTCATTTTAGAATTCAAAAACCATCCTTACATTTTGGAATTTGCTCGTAATTAATGTTTTCGTTGCCTAGAACACTTTCAAGTATTATTATTTTGTGAAATAGAGAACATTATTATGAATGATCCAGGAAAAAATACAACCACTCCTCCATCTGGACTGCATTTTTTTCAAAAGACCTATCACCAAAACAATTATGTTTTTCAGTTGGTCCTTATCACATACATTAAAAAACTTACGTGTGTCATACACAAGACCCGTACATTTCTTTCAGTTATTGTAGTACTCATGTGCTATGTATTTTCAAAGTTCAGTCCATCCTTACCTTTTAGAAGTTTTTGTGATCAGCCATAAATTCTTGTAATATTGATATCCTATTATTTTTAACATCATTTGTCCAGTGCAAAATAAACACCACCATTCGTCAATGACATTCATTGTATCTCAGTCACATTCTAGGTCAAATTTTTTCATTGTAAGCATTTTAAAAATACTGTGTGAAAGTATAACATGAATAATCTTCTTTACAGTAAATTAGAAGAACAACTGCCCCTACTTGTATGTCCAAATGAAGTGCTGTTTACCTTTTAGACATTGTTTTTGATTTTATACAACTGCAGAGGATTTCCCTGGTGAGCAGTTTTGCTGCAACACTATTCTGTGGGGATTATGCACCGATAGACTACAGTGATGGGTCCGGTATGAACCTTCTGGACATTGTCAACAAGTCTTGGTCCCCTGAATGTTTAAAGGTATGCTTGTAAATTGTTTTTAAGTAACAGTGTTGGGGCTTGTCTTAAATGTTTACCAGAAATAAAACGGAAGGAAACAGTTATTTATAAAAATTGTTTCCTGATGCTAGAAGCACATGTATCATTCACACGATTGTTACATATATATATATTGATGTCATATTGAGTATATATCAGATATGTGTAAAAATATGTATATTTAGAAACTTCAATTTTTCATTTAATTAAATATGGCAAAACAGACATTTAAATAAAATAGTTTCATATTTACTCTATGCAGTTGGAACAATAAGCAAGATAAAACCAGTTCTGTTGATTTCTAATGTCAAACAAGATGTGAACAGTTGTGAGTCTCAATCCATAAAAAATAGGGAAAGTGCTTATTCAATCTCATTCATTAGAGTTACTTCCCCTCTTTTATTTGTCTGCCAAAAATATATATCTATGTTAACATACAGAAATTGTCTGATAGATGATAGGGGCTCAGTACCTGACAGATATATTGAATGGCCCTTTACTTTAACAGGTGCAAGATTGAGTCTATTTAACACTAAAACATATTACAGATGGAAGTGCCCATGGTGTTACAACTATTAACCACTTACATATTTGTATCTCTGAAAGGATTATTTGAACAATATTAGATTTCACCAAACAGTTTCTCTTCTTTGAAAGACTTTAAACAGGATAGCCAGTTAATTACGGTTTAACGGAAGCTCCTCCCTTCTCTCTGCTTGAGCATATACAATCTTACTTGATCAGCTGATTGATTAAAAATTGTTTCTATTGATGTAACAAATGTGTTTGATAGGCATGTGGGGATGACTTGGCCCTGAAGTTAGGCGAGCCAGTTCCTTCCTGTACTGTTGTGGTAAGTTTATTTCAGTCCTTCTAATCATAACTGTGTTTTAACCACTAAACACTTTATGTATCAAAAATAACTAAGACATTATAATATCAGATATTACAATAATTGGCATTGGCTGTAGTGTATTACTGTACATGTTTTTAATACATACCGTGAAAACCAGTTCTTATAAACTTCCCTTTATTGCAACCCAGGTTTTTCATTGAAATTAGTTTTAAAATTATTCTCAGTTTATTATTCACATCTGAAAGATTTTTACTGTAATGTATCTGCTCAAATCAAACTCCTTCTAAAACATATAAAAGAAAGAGATTTTATATTGACCATTAATTGCCAGGAATCAGACAGGCACATGTAGTAAATAAAGCATTGTTTGATCGATGGAGTATCAAAATTGAGATCACAGCCAGATATATTTATGTTTCAAGTGTTCTGTTTTCAGGGTAAAGTGTCCAGGTATCTTGTAGATAGATACAGCTTTTCCCCAGCTTGTCAAGTGGTGGCCTTCACAGGTGACAACCCAGGTAAGTAATATAATCTTCAGTGGGTGATCTAGCTCAAGGGGGACCACCATTTAGTCTCCAGTGAATCTTTGTGACCTGAAGGGAGACAACCCAGATATATCTCCTACTCAGTGAATTTCAGTTCAACATCGCAATGTTCCTACTTATTGTCTAGTGGCAACAGCTGAACAAAGGCAGTAGAGTGTCAGTCTCATACCAACAGGCTGTAGCAGCTAATGTTGTTGTTTCCTTTAAAACACTTAATTCTGATTGCACCAGTCTACCTAGATGTAACAAATGTTTTGAGTTCCTTTCATTTGCTTTTGGCTACTAATTCAGAATTTACAAGTATGATATGTTGGTAATCAGATGTCAATATGGGATAAAACTACATGTAGCTAATTGTTTTTAAACCAGTTTAAAAGTGATGAGTCTTCATTTGTGATGATCAAACGAAAATGTAAACAGATGTTGATAATTGTACAAATACCAGATGGCTGATTATTATTTCGGTGATCTTGTTTTTCAAACAAAGGTATAATAAATGCTATATATACATGGTATATAGTTGTATTGTGTTCAACTTTATATATTAGTCTTATGTAAATATATGTACATGTATCTATATTTTGTGCATCCTAATACAGGTTTATCTACTATCTTATCTTACAGTGTATCTTCTTTCTATATCCTATACTTTCTATATCCTTTACTCTCTGTATCCTATACTTTCTGTATCCTTTACTTTCTATATCCTATACTCTCTGTATCTTGAGCTGTATTTGCTTTTCTGTATCTTAAGATGCACCTACTTTCTCTATCGTAAAGTATATCAGGTTTCTGTATACTTAAGTTATCTTTATTCTATACTTGCTAAGGTTATATCCTCTTTGAGTAATAAGGTTGTTGATTGTGTTTCAGCCTCCCTGGCAGGACTTGCACCTAGGGAAGGGGATGCTATTGTAAGTCTTTGTACAATGTGGGGTAATTATACCTATGTTTCTATACTAGATGTGTGAATCAGAAAGCATTGTAAATGTATTCTAAATTACTTCATTGATCTGAACTTTTCATAAGTTTGCTACTTTTAGCTTACATGGCATGCACACAACTTGTCTGTCCTACATCAATTCCTTCCTTTTAACTTCTTTAGAACAGTAAGGCTTGCAGCTTTCTGGAGTGAAGAGCTGTTACATTTGGTTTAATCAATGATATAATATTTTTGATAGTCCCTTAATTTCCCGGTATCTTGTGCAGCCTTCCCTGTTTTCTAATATACAGTGGACATGTACCCCGTTTTACCATTGCTTTACGTTTATTTACCCCCTTATACAGTTTTTGATTAGTCTTTCTTGGTAAAAAATATACTGAATTAATCTATCAAAGGAGACATAAAAAATATATAATAGTCAGCAGTTGTAAGCATTAAAAATGTGAAAACTTAAGAAGATAGGTAACATCTTAAACTTTGCATTTGTTCATTATATAATTGATGGCTCTGTGGAGGTAATGGGAAAATGAGAAGTAGTAGAGAGAAAAAGAACAATAAGAGAATAAGATTTATAAAAGGAAAATTTCTTGTATAAACTCGAAACACAGTCAGGCCTGCCTTAATTTACACAGTACTTAAAGCCCAAACCACTAACTCTTGAGACAAAATACATTCACATGTATCGTAATGCAGAACTCTTTTTAGAATAAGGCAGCTGTTACAAAAAATATGTACAGGTACTCTTGGTAAAAACATGATCATTTGTTGATGTCCACACTAACAAATACCTTACTATACAGGTGAGCCTGGGTACCAGTGATACAGTGTTTCTGTGGCTCACTGAGCAGAGAGCAGGTCTGGAGGGACATATATTTGTCAACCCCATCGACACTAACGACTACATGGCTCTTGTCTGGTAAGACAGTCTTAAATACTGAAAAGCACCATTGGGCAGGGTCATGAATTCTTAAATAATTCATTTATGGCAAATGCTTTGGGTACATTTAAGGTTGATCTTGTTTCAATGTTTTGACAACAGCTGACCTTGGAATTAATTAATATGGGTACTTACTTATACATGTGTCTGCTATAGAAAGTACATTGGAAATAGATTGCAGTATTTATGTCAGTGTTATTTTGTCTTCATGCACAGTAATTAAGGTTAACAAAAAGTAATGTACATCCAGAGATGTGTGCCGACAGTGTCATGTGAATAATTTTGTGCAAGTGTTTGCATCCATAAAAATGCCTGTCAGGATGGTCCACAATTTAGTTGCTTACAAATACCTTCTTTATGATATGTGGCAATATCACATTTTGATAATACGTTTGTAAGTAAATGTGCATTTCAATCCTTATGTTTTCATAACGAAGAAATCATGTTGTATTTTATTGAGTGGTTTTAATTGGTTTCTGATAATTTTTCAATAAAATGTTTTATCACATGGTGGAACAGTCATTTCTTGTGGAAGAACATGGAAAGTTTTTTTTACTGTAATTAGTATTTTGGTGACACCAATCAATCAAAAGCCAAGTTTGAGTTGACATCACAACATAACATTTCCTCATTGCTCAACAGTCAATGGAAATGTCAGTCTATTATGTTGACAACGAGTATGTCTCTTGGTTAAAATTTCCCCCTGATATTTTAGATAAACAACAAGTTTTTTTTTATAATTTAACAGACTCCCTCCCTATTTTTAAGAGCTAATTTCTCCAGAAATGCGAAATATTTTACTGGTATAATTGTTGTGTAAGTGCTAGTTCTAAAATACTTACAATGCTTTAAACATACAATTTCTACTTATTATGGAATTTCATTAATTTATTCATTGACTATGATCACTTGATTGCATAATACACATTGACATTATACTGGAACTTCCTTTCCTTGAGAAAACAGTGAAATGCATTTCATGTTTTTAGGTATAAAAAAAGTAAAAATAACACCCTATGATATCTGCATCTACATATTTAGAATACTTTTTGCTGCTTATTATTTAGTAAGTATTTATTCATTTCATTTAAATTATGTTAATGCTTATTGTTTAAAGTTTTAAGAATGGGTCACTGACAAGGGAGAGAATTCAGCAGGAGAGTGCTGGTTGTTCCTGGGACACCTTTTCTAGCTACCTGGCTGACACACCTATGGGTAACAATGGAAACATAGGTAAGTGTTCACGTGCTCATACTCAAGTTTATATGACATCAAACCAACGTTATTGTAGTTTGCCTTGTCCGTGTTACAGGTAAATATGTAAACATTAAACTAAGGAATCCTGGCAGCTATAAGTTGTGAACATGTTTCAGCAATATCGTTCAAATCAAATACCTGAACCCCCTTTCAGGGTCACAGGAATCCAATATGTTAAAACCTTCAAACAAAGTCTCTCTAAGAATTACAGAAACTCTTAAAAGTAATTATACTTGTACAAATGAACATTCATTATATATTTACAAGTTCAAAGGAAACAAAATCAGACATGTTAATCAATTGAACCATGATTCAAAAAGGCGGAATATTTATCCTGTAGTCCACAGGCGAGGGAAACTATCAATTTACTCAAATAATCAAGCTTGCAAAAACAGCTGAGCGATTGGAGCCCTATGGTCACATGTAAGATCACAAAAAAATGATATTTATAAAGTTCTAATATTAAGGACATGATTATTTTGAATTGCTTATTGGAATGTATGCTTCTTATTTTCATTTGTACAGGTATATATTTTGATGCAACAGAAATCCAGCCTTTGGCAATGGGCACATCAAGGTTCAATAGCAAAGATGAGAAGGTACATTATTTCTGCACAGACAAGTTTAGGGTCTACCAGTAATAGATATATTGAAAACCATTGCATGAGAAAAGTAATTGTATCAAAGGAAACTCATTTATATTTGAAAACAAAGTTTATGATTACCTTTACAATGTATATAAAAAAAAAAAAGTTAAAGAAACCATTTATAAAACAGTGAAAATCCACAATGCTGAATGGTGGTGTTCAATGATTGGGCAATAGATGTTATAGTTAAGGGTTTTAGATAAGTTTTGGTTATACATTTTTGGGTATTTTAACTGATATTATTGTAATCCAGATTCTGTATTCAAGCACATTTAGGTGGGAGAGTACCTTTTAAAGTCTAAAATGTTCTACTACATGTATTCTATATGTACTCACAACTAGTTTACTAAATATATGTTCTCTCACAGGACATTGTTGAAGTTTGAGTATCAAAACTCTTTTTTTGATACTTCCCTTTGACTTATACAATATCAGTGTCCTTATATAATTAGCAGAGCGGTTTATAGCAATAGACAGCATTTACACTTTTGTGTAAATTGGGTTTAAATAATTTTGTAGATATTGTTTCATTCGGGACAGTTCTCATAAACAGTGCACTAGTATCAATCGTCTGCATCAAATTAAGTGTTATATGTTTGAACGGGAAATAAGGAGCAAAAAGAACAGTTACATAGATTATGTACGTCTTAAGGAATTGATCAGATGAACAGTGTAGTGGACTTCACATCCCTGCGTTGATTCATTGACAAGATTATTATCCCACCCTGAACAGCCATAGTTGAAGCGGCAGTTAAATCAAGTCACATTGAATCTTACTGTTACAAATATTCTGATGGGTTAAATAAAATAAATAAATCTTTCCACCTACATTTGTTAGCTTGTTCAGGCAACGTGTCGACTTGTGTTAAATTCTCATTGTTAAACCCCGCAAGTAGGAAATAATCATAAAATCAAGGTATCGGTCTGGGTGTGAATATATTAGTCAGGAATATACATTATGTACCCCCTAAATGTACTGCATACTTGTAGATGTCGGGCACTTTGTACACTTAATAAGTATGCGAAGTTGTTGTGAACGATGTAATTTATTGTCATTGCTAAATGTACTATTTATAAGACCATTGCAATGAAAGCAATCAAAAGTTAGACCCACATTCATTCAGGAAATTATCCTTTGGCTTTCATTTTTAGTTTGATTTGTCAAGTGTAAGACTTTTTTTTAGATATTTCGGTAACTTTCTCAAACAAATTTAAAGGAGCTAAAATAAATGGGATAGAATATTATGGCACATGTACAGTATCAAAGATGTTCAAATGATAACTCGGGTACTGAATTGGGTTACACCCTAGGGATATCTCAATGGGATTTGATGGGAGATACCGTAACAGGTGCCATGTGCGTGAAGAAAGCTTTCGGGAATACTGGGTGTTGGTTTCATAGGTTTGTTCAAATTCATGTTAATAGAATTTTCTTTTGTTTACCTTAGTTCCTGCTGTCTTGTTATCAAAATTTGTTAGGTCTTTTTTTTTTTTTTAACCCCGGTGTGATTTAAATCTGAATGTACTAAAATTGGTATTTGGTGTTAAGATCTTGCGTACATAGAGCCATCTTTGTTTTCTTAAGGTTGGCAGTTTCTCACCTGAAGTAGAGGTACGAGCTGTGTTGGAGAGTCAGTTTTTAGCCAGAAGGATGTACGCAGAACACAGAGGAATGAGTGTTGGTCAGTATCTTTTGTATTCATGTATTCATGTACATGTGATTAAAACAAAGTGATGCTGCGCAGATATATTCCTATTTTTACATTTTATTTTGGACAGTTCCATCTCTGATGTTTTTACGCTCTAAACGAACTCGTGCATTTTAAACTACCATGAAGTATTTGTGGATATCATGAGAAAACCATAGTTAAACTCATAGAAAGTGAATTATATAGCTCTACATTAATAACACAAAGTGATATTGACACTAAACTTAGTTCGTCATTTATGAAATCGTGGGTTAATGTATTATACAGTATACACTTTGAAGTATATTAAGTTTTGCTTTATAGTAAATGCTTTGAAGTAGTATACAGTATACAATATGAAGAATTAAAATGATCTACCTTTGGTTATTTGTTGTTTTTTGTATCTCTGTATTTCTTGCATATGTGTTATCAGCTGACACAAGGTTTGCTTTGTGTTTGCCCTAGGTCCCCAGACACGGGTTTTAGCTACAGGTGGGGCTTCTTCAAATAAAGAAATTTTACAGGTGAGATAGCATATTGATATTACTTATAATGAAGCCGTGAAGGCATAAACGAGATTGGTCATTATTTCTAGTAAACAGAAAAGATGTTTTCTGAGTTCAGAAAAAATAATCAGAGTTAATACAAGGATTTCTTTTATGTGGAAATTGACCCAATAATAACTTATTATGCTATAATTATTTTGCCTCATTAAAAGTTTTTTTTCGTTGAAATGTTTTTTGTTAAAATAATGAGTATTAAGACAAGGATATTAGATGATTCTGACTCACTGTTCGTAAAAAAATGTGTTTTCCAGGTTTTGTCTGATGTCTTCAATGCTCCTGTCTACGTAACCGAGGTTCCAAACTCGGCAGCTCTCGGCGGTTGTTACAGGGCAAAGCATGGTAAACTAGCACCTATTTCACTTCCATTTGGAAACATTTTCAAAAGTACAGGGTTTTTGTACAATCTCTGTTTATATAGTTATTTACTATGAATATGTCTTTCAGAAAGAAGAACAATCGTTTACTTTTATTTGTGTAAGTGAAAAACTCTACACAGAATGGTTGAAATGACGTCAAATATTTTCATTTCAGAATAAAAAAAAAATGCAAATAGTTTAATGTAAAACAATGCGTATGCAGTGCATGCAAAAAAACCACCCAGATCAGCTCTATTCACTCAAAAATATGAAAATTGTTAAATTTAAAGGAGATTTGGAGTTTAGTAGAAGGTTATTATTTCATTACGTTGTTTGTAGCTAGTATAAATATTTTATATAAGTTTTATGAAATCAAAAGATGTTCGGTTTTTTTCCCACTCTGTATGAAGGTGTGACAGGATTGAAGTTTTCCGATGTCGTAAAGGGCCACCCAGAGCCTGTGTGTGTGGCAACGCCCAGCAAAGGAGCATCTGAGGTAAACATAATGTTGGTTTGTCCCAATAGTGTCGTCTTCAAGTAGTCCTTATTCCCTTATCAACCGAAGATATATTCCAATTCAGTTTATCCTACGGCATGCCTGCTGCAGAATCCGGGTATATGCATGTTCATGTACAGTCTAAACAGCAAGAAATCTTCAGCACTTATATATATAATTATCTGATATTGTTATTTGATCAAATCTTAACATCTATTTATAAAGGGTCCATTATTTCAGAGCTTAGCCAATTATCATTTTTGTTTTAAATTTTTGAATAGTAAACAAGTTTTCAAACTAACCAAATATTTTACAAACATAAATTAGAAAGAGGGAAATGCTAAGTGGATTTGCGGTGACAACTGAAATGCTTTAAACTCACAATTAAAGGATTTGGAGTGACCTTGTCATGACCTGGTGACCTCAGTAAAGAGGAAATAAAAACTGGTTAGCCAACACAACTGTCGAATTAGTTTCTAAAGTTTTATTGCTTGACTTCTGTCGATACCGCGAGTACGTTGAATACTATATTGATCGGCTCAAGTCATAAAGTAACTGCATTCTAATTATCATTTAGATGAAATAGCATAAGAACCACCAGCAAGCGTTCCTTAAAATGTTTATCCCACAATGTGACATCCTCGGTAAACAGGAAGTCGCCAATTTTGTCCGTGTACAATCAGTGAGTTCGGGGGCGTTAGCTATATAGGTGTAAACAGAAGTAACATGATAGACTTCGTAAATACCGAAGGCTGTTATAATGTAAACAAGTGGATATACAAAATGTATAGCTTATCGTTGGTCGTTATTTTGTCAAATATGTATAATAAGTCTACGAGAGAAAGACAATGTTAAGAGATAGGTATAGTGTTCGTCGTATGCACGGTCAGATGCATAAGTGACAAACATATACAAAATGACAACAGCAACTGAGTGTATATCAAAACAAATCTTAAACATCATTAAACTACACCAAAATCAGAAATCTAAAGTATATATGATTATTTTTACCAACTGTCCTTAGGGGCCCGTACCTTATGACTTTCGGAATATATCACAAACAAAAAACAGGATTTTGGAAAAATAGAGCAAAACAATTCTAGAGGAAGAGGCCTTTTACATAATTCCTGGCGACTTCGGATAAATGTGTTATTCAGTACTAGTATTTGTTTTGAATCCACAACAGTTAATTTCAAATGTATTTTCTTATATGTTCAGTTTTCTTTTCATAACACTTCTGTAGATTGATGCTATTATTTTTATTTATTTTTTCCATTTCAGATGTACCAGAGTATGAGTGAACGGTACAAAAAGCTAGAACAGCTGATGTAGTTAACTAACTGATTAAGATAATTGTGTCAGGAACATGATTGTAATATGATGTGTACGTGTATGATCAGTTAAATAATGAACGATTGATTGAAATCGATGATGAATTTGTAATCAAATTATAATAATGTGCCAAATTAACTTGATACTATGCCAGTTGTTGTGAATGTATTTTCCAATTATACAATTATGTCAGTGCCTTTATAATCAAGATTATTTTATATTTAGTTATTCAAACTATTTCCATATTTTACACATTTTTTGAAAAACAATATTTTTGGTATTTTTAAGCATTATTTTCACCCATTGCATTTCCCAAGGCGACTTGACAGGCTTCAAACTTAACAGCGGTACATTGTTTCTCTGTGTTATACAAGAATATCTACGTTCAAATGAAGGGTTCTCGATTTTTGATATTTTAATGCTACATATCATGAAGGGTAACAAAGTATTTTTGAAATTATTCTACCACTTATATTTAGAATATTTTCAGTTAATGGTATTTCTGGAGATGAGAACTTGATTGATATTTTTAAAATAATAGTAATTAGAAATTGCCGCAGGTCAACGGGAATCGATCTTTAAGATGGCACAACGAATTTTGTGTTTATTTCATTATTTTCATCAAGCTTAACTTGTTTGTTAAAACCATTAACGAACTTCCTTAAAGATGTACTTAAATTAAGCTTCACAGAGTCGCTCATGTTCGTATATATCCCGTTACCAACCTGTGTATGCAGGTATATATATTTCGTGATATATTCATTGTGCATTGTTATCTCATGTGTGACTCAACACTTTACCTAGTCATTTTCAGTCGACAATACATGTACATGTGTGTAATTATGTAACGCATTTATATTTTGTTAAAGTGATTTACACAGCTAACAATAATCATTTCTGTTACGTTTCTCTTTGAAATGGTTGTAAGAATGCATTTTATATCAACATTTCATTATATGTAGTATGTTAGATGAAATAAACGTTAAAACGAAAATTTTGATTTTTTATTATTTACAAATGTTGCAAATGACCAATATAATTACCATATACGTCTTAGTAAAATATAAAACAAGAGATAATCTGACTATGAACAAAACCCCAATTAGAACTCAACATCAATTGAACTAATTTAGGGGGGGGNTTTAAACCTAAAACATATCTCATCCCGAGGGTTGAGATATCTCTGTCTACATTACACAGGAGTGATTGATTATTTTTCTCACACATTTTCATACCTTAAAAAATACCTTCACTGCGAAGTTGTATTTTTGACCCCAATGCACCGAACTATCATCAATTAAATTCATCAACAATTCTTACCTTTTCACCATTTTTTCCTCCGGCAACACATTCGCCTATTTTGAACTGTCGGGATGCTGAACTTGCTATGTTTTGTTTACATATATATACATGTGCATGTGAGTACAAAGTGATGATGTAATAGGTTTTGCTAAAAGTGCACAGGGTCACAGATCATGTTGAAAAAAGTGCGTTGTCTGTGACGTAATAGCGCGTGTCAGCTGTCTTGATCGAGGTAGATCAGGACAGGTATATCTTTTCCCTACCAAAAACGGGAATGTACCTGTGAAGTGTGGGAGAAAAGTGCAATCTACATCTGCGACACGTTACAATAGGTTACATAAAAGTAATGGCATGCCCCTAAGCGTGAATCTGGGCAGTATAATAAACGAAACAACATAGCGCATTGATAAGCAAACTCCAAATCATTGACCTCCATATCACACAAAAAATATGATATGTTCCAATGAAATCATGATGGCGATCATGAAACTTGCCCATATTCTATAATCATCACCATCTATCGACACTTACATGTAGAGGTTTGTCCGTCATCAATCGATATCTTTCACGGAGATCATGACATTCGCATCAAGCTCTATGGTGACATTTAAACACCATCGGTTTCGGAAAGCAGTTTTGTTACCATCAATATTGCCATACTTCAACACTAAGATTACATGTAATGTATAGTGTACATGTAGAGGCACAGGTCATCGTACAGAGAGGAATATTGGTCAACTCATACGAACATACATTGTACAGTGTGATACAGAGGGCAGTTATAACATTCAGGAGTACTAGTGCCGCATGTTAAAGTATATACTATATATATTTAATTATCAATGTATTGTTAAATTTACTATTAAAGAAGGTCTGTAAATATTCCATTTATTTTATCATTTTCATGTCAACTTATTTCGGTATGTGACACTTGATTGGCGTTAGGCAGAACGGCCAATGAAATGTGGCCATTACAGTAACGGACAAAGATATATGTGTCTATACAAAATTGACTCTGTCTGCTCCGAAACGTGATATATAATATTGCTTTATGCGATAGGATTAAATTAACACGACGTCTGTCTTTCCGTCGTATACATTTCAGAATAACAATGGACTGGTGGAAGAATTGACGAATCCCTGGAGACTAGGCTCTTTCTTGTTAAACTCACACCATATCCGAAAGCTTGTGATCGACGGATACGTCTATTTATGAAATAGCGTCCTTGCATGTTACAAAAAAAAACACATTCATGTATGTGCGATATCACATTTCCTCCTACAATGTAACAATTATGTACGAAGCTATCACTACACACGGTTTTAGTGAATTACTTTTATCAAATTTCAAACTGAATTCCTTCAAACGTTGCCAGCTTGATTGCCATCACATACTGACACCCTTGTCGTCCGAACATCTATTCGCTCGACTAGATCCAAAGCATGGATAACTATATTTTTCAATAGAACAGGTTTTTTTCTTATACGCTCAGTTTTCCTATTTTCGTGATTTAGGATAAAAGTTATTTGCTTCTTGGAAATTAGAAAGACGCATACTCTTTTAATTAAAAAAAGTTAAATATATAATAAAATGAAAACAAAACGACACCATCCTTATCATCAATGACTAATGTAGGAAGTTGAAACAAGACAAATCCAGGGTCTTGCGGAACACCAAAACAAAAGGAATAACATCGTCGACTCCTACAACAAACCTGCGGGAAAACCTGTTGCTCTGTTTCTTCTGCCCCGAAAATCCGATAGGGTTACAGTGTGTTATATTGCCCATATTCATGGCTACAACATTAAGTGTAATTGTTCTTTCGTGGTGTAGAGTTCCAATCTCATCGTTTCTTAACAGATTTAACGCACTTTATTTAAAGGCCAAGTATGACAAAACATGGACGAGTTTGTGGTTTAGAAGGCAAGAATCAAGTTTATTACCTTTAATGAAAAACTATACTTGTCACTGCGGGTGAGATATATCATGTACTTATCTATTATGTAAGCTATCTTACTGTATATAAGAAGAATAGACTTTAGTAAGGTGTCAAAAAGTGATGTCTGTCAACCCGGAATCATTTTAGAGTTAAGTATAGTCCTGAGGGTTGTTAACTTTAACACATGGTCCAGTCACCATATCTGAATGTGTGAGCCAACCTTAAAAGTGCGTGAAATGGCAGCCTCTGCTGGCCACCATTTAAAGAGGCAACGCGAAATAGGGAACATTTAAAAAAGAGCTGAATCTCTCTGCTCGATATCATCGAGTAGGGTAACCCTCGCAAATATGACCGTCCAATCCTGATTGAAATGTTTCGAATGATTGTATTGGGAAAGATAAGTCAATTGTTATTGTTTCCACGAAATCTCATTCTGGATATCTTATATAGTAACGATATTTACGAAACAATCAACATTCGTGTTTGTCTGTTATGGTGGAATATATATAGAGAGTAAAAAAATGTTTGAAAATGATGAACGAAGGCCGCATGCTGCCTGAGTTGATTTTATTTCAATTTTCTCGAATCCCGAGTTAAATTTCTGTCATAATATACAAACATATGTTGATAATATCTGTTACACGAAGTAAAATGTAACGAAATTCTTTTTCGTGTCTACCGCAGTTTCTGTACGCTTATGATATATACATACGATAATGTATAAGCAAGGTAACTTAGATGATTTAATTTAAAAAAAAGGCTATTCTTTTCCGCGCTAACGTTTGTCACGTGATTCCTATTTGTCTTCATTTCACAACACGCTGTGCGCTTTTATCATATCTGACCATGTTGTCCTGTGTTGTCTATTTAACCTGACGGATTTTTCATTTCAGTCGCCATTTGGTCGACAAACAATACACAATTAACATTGACGTCATGCTTTATACCAGATGTTTATTTAAATCAATCAAATCCAACAATCTATCGACTCACGCGTTAACACATGAAATCAGCATTTGGCAGATTTACAAACACTGTTTCAAGTCACCTTCGTGGCAGTTTCAGCGAACATTCTGACGGCGAGCTTGACAAAATTTAAATAAATCTAGACGCTAAGAAGAATCTTCAAATACGTTCAGAGCTTACTACACGTACCCCACATTCTACCTCATAGCATCGCAGCTTACTTGTTTACATTTCCAAGGGAGGTTTTTAATGAGCGTTGATCTGTTGGAAAATAGTGTATGCATGTGCAGGGTCTATTGTCTAATAATACTGTTTATTAATCAGTAGTGTCCTTACGTCGAAGACATGGTAGAATATATGAGATATCTTATATTTTATACGAGATATCTGAGATTTTATATGAGATTATACAGAATCGACATAGCTCCTTAAAAATGTTAAATTGACATGCCATAGGTATATGTTAGTATATGCATTAAATATATTGTAATAACAAATGTCTTATTATATCCTTATATAACTCCGCTAGGGTGAGCGGGGGATTATTGTTTTCCCATTCCCCCCCGCTTAACTAGCTCACCGGCTGTCATCATACTGGGGGTCTCATGTCGGGACATATTTTGTCTATCTTTCACCCACTGCTTTATCATTGCCGTATATGCCTCTTACAATGTTAGTTTTTACCGTTCCACAGGACAGGAACTGTGTGTCTTTTGCTTTGCCTTTTTTATAGGTAATACTGTTAAGATACATCTGTTGATGAAGTTACCAGCAAGTTCTCATGTACCTTTCATGTGGGTAAAAACATGCTCTTGAATAACGTTGTTATATTTTGTCTATTCTATCTTGATTGGTGGATGTCCGTTAAATCTAATTACAGAGTAGCTGAGCCCCCGTAAGGCCTGATTTATTGTATGGTTTCGCTTATTCTTATATTTGGCTGCCCCATATATACCGAGGTAGACATCAGAGGAAGCAAGTTTTATGTCAGCTGAAGAGGAACATTTTATTTTAGCAGCAGGCCATTTTCGTATTCTAGATGTCTTAAAAGTCCACGTTGCACCACGAAACCATGATCTGACAGTAAGCCCCAAACCACACGGTCGCCATCAACGGAATGTAACATACTTAGGTTATTACCCTCAGTCTGCCGATGAAATTGATGAGAGCCATAGGTACCAGAGATGTACAGGTGACGTCACCACTTTCAAGTCCATACAACTAAGACCAATGCCATAACAGTTGGACACGTCTAAGTCATAAACTTCACAATTGTGATGCACGCTTTGCCACGCACCATGTTCATGCCCGCACGGCCAAGGACAAAGGCTACAGCTAGGGAACTAATATGCTAGCATCGTTTCCCAGTGAGAACGTCTGCATATGCTTTCAAATTTGTTATATATATGGGGGTGTTTACCTAGACACTGTTGTAGAGGGACATGTATCGCCAGAACGCATATCTGCAACGCACTGAATAGGTAAAATCAAATCAAATCTAATCAGATTACGGCCAAATGATGCAGTACCACAGCTGTGGATACTCATTAAATACTTACTGGTATCAATACAGGTGATACTGTTGCTATGCAGGTGCCCTTGACTCTGCCTGTTGGAAAATGAAACTAAAGGCTGCATAACACAGCTAGACGGTCCTACACGTAACACATTTGAGATATTCCTTGTGTAGTATTACTGACAAGGCAAGGATGCTAGACTTAAATTGGACTTATTACAAAAAGGGGAAAGCTGTCCTGTGGCCCACCGCAGCCATCACATA